CTCTCTCTCTCTCTCTCTCTCTCTCTCTCTCTCTCTCTCTCTCTCTCTCTCTCTCTCTCTCTCTCTCTCTCGTGATCAGCACCACGCAGCTCGCCCTAACGCAACACCCGCCAGGAAGCGCCTGGAGCGGACGTTTGACGAGGGAAAAAGCGACGGTTACACGTTCGGTGAAGAATGTACCGAAATCCCTTCCTGCCATTATACAACTCTTTTCCTTGTGTTTTTTTTTTGCTTTCTCCAGCTGCTCTTGTGCTCGCTCTGCTGCCTCTCTATGCTCTACGACAAGGCGCAGAGTGCAGGCCTTAAGGTAAACGGGCTGAAAAGCGCCAGAGTGAGGGCTCCGCGGTATCAGCGACCGTGACCCTATGCCACCATGCCACAAGCCACGGCGCGATCGCCTGGATGGTCGTCTCCCCGAACATGAGCATGGAGGGTCGATGAGGCGAGGCCGCCCCGTATCGCGAGGCATAGCCGTCGTTGCCGGGACGACGCTCCTGATCCTGCGCCCGATGAAACACACGGCCGCCCTGCGGCCGGCTGCACGGCCGGCACACCCACCGGCCGATCCGTTCCGGTCGCAGTACTGCAACAGCGGCCGAAGGCGTGGCGGTGTTGCACTAGCATCCTCTCCTGCTACGGTGGGGATCACAGCGACAGCGGGGGGGCGAGCAACAACGCACATTGGGTCGATCAAGGACTGCACCTCCGGCCGACGCGGGGCTGGGCTGACGACGAGTGCGACGGCGACTCTCACAAACCGAATTTCTCTGGGGGTGCAAGGTGGGGGGTTGCAAAAGCACGCGTGGCGAGCGGCGGGAAGCCGGCCGGTGGCGCCGCTGTGCATGAGCCAGAGTAGCCCTCCCGTCTTTCAGCCCCAACAGGCCGGAGACAGGAAGGACAGCAGTAGCTCCTCCCCCACTGCTGCGGGTGACAACGTGGCGGGGAAAGAAGACGACCACCACAGCAATGGCCAGGGGGCCGCTGATGTGCGGCAGCAGCCAGCAGCCATTTCGCTGCACCAGCACCATCGTCACAACCATCATCCAGGTGCGCGCAATGTGTTTGAATCGAAGACCGTCAGGTCGATCGAGTGCATTGGGCGTGGGGCCGTTGAAGTCGGGTGTCGCATCAGGTCTGGGTTGCCCCAGCTCTCGTGGGTACAGCTCTCCGTCAAGCACCTAGTTTCCGGCGCACGCGCTGTTTGCTTTTACGATATGTGATGTTTTTCTGTATGGGTGATTCAGTCCTAGCATGAGGGGGTGCTCAAAGTGGCTACATTTACACCGGTGTGTTGCACCGCCGAACATCACCTTGACGGTGCTTTCGGTGTACAGCTGTACTGTAGCATCGTGCAGTAGCCGTATTGCACCACCCACAGCCGGGTACAGCGGCAATGCGAAACGATATCCCACGTGAGTTCACTGCACGAAGCCGCTGCGGTGTTGCACCAACACAAACCTCGCACCTTGGGCTCGTCGATATGCCCTTCACGGCGCCTGGAGTATCTTGCACCAATTGTTCCCGACTGCTGCTGTGATAGTCGACTTTAGAGGTGCCGATAACTCTTGTCAGCTGAGCTGAGCACAAGCAAGGGTAGCCCATGTTTCTCGTAGCTAAACTGCACAAGAACTCCTCCTCTCGTCATGTTTGTGGACGCTTTCCCTTCATGGCGGTACAGTACCCAATGGCAAGCCTACAGCAGTAGTGGGCCTTGCAGATCTGTCCCCCCTCCACGGCCGTACGGTCACGTTGACTTGACTCTCTAACGAATCCCCCCCCCCCCCCCCCCNCACTACGGGCGACGCCGGGAAATACTTCGCTTGCTGCGGCAGTCCCAGTGGTAGATGTGCACGGCAGTGCTTCGCCTCTCAACGGTCATCACACGGCGGCGGCTGTGACGTCCTCTCCCATTGCCACAGAGCCGGCACCGCCACCGAGAGTTGCCGACGACATCGCGGCGATGAAAGCTCTTGGCAAGGAGGGGAAGTGGCGAGAGGCGGTTGCGGTGCTGTCCCAGCTGAAGGAAGATGCTTCGGCAGCCTCGAACGGTGACGGTAACGACCTCGCCCTGAACCTGGCGGTGTACAACGCGGCCATCAGCGCGGTGTCAAGAAGCGGGAAGTGGGACGAGGTACGGGAGTTCGATGTAGAATCCATACAATCAAAACAAGACAAGAATACCCCGTTTGAGATAATACCACAGCAGTCGAAGGGAGTTCGTCCAAAAGCGTGTCTGTGGGGGGGAGGGGGGGGCTGCTTGCCGTCTGTGGTACGGGCTTGCCCTTCTGCTAGACCGGCACTCATTTGGACGTGCCCGCTTGATCTCCAAATAGATGTATTTCTTGGCGCGTCTGCCCTTCTCACGCGACGTTGTAGCTTGCTTTTGTTTGGCCCATCTGCCTGGACAGAAGAGGAAACACCCATATTCCCTCGGGAATGACTGTGAAGGACTATGTTGATGCTATTCTTTGTTTGACGTTTCTTTTCATTTTTTTTGTTTTACCGTACGCACGGCTCTGCTGTGCCTGTGTTTTTCTTGCCCTCTCTCACCTTCGCCGGCTGCTTGGTGTTTCCCATCTGCTGTCGTGGCGGACGAAGGCGCTAGGTTTGCTGGAGGAAATGCGATCGGCAGGCGTCCAGCCCGATGTGGTGAGTGCTGTTGATGGGGACAACAGGAACGTGTTGTTGTTGTTGTTGTTGTTGTTGTTGTTGTTGTTGTTGTTGTTGTTGTTGTTGTTGTTGTTGTTGTTGTTGTTGTTGTTGTTGCTGCTGCTGCTGCTACTGCTGCTATCTGAATGCTTAAACGCTCTGTTTGCCTACTGCCGCTGGCATATCGTGTGCAACAAGAGCCAAGGCACACCCTTACACAACGAACCCGATGTTGTACATTTTTTAAACACCAAGATGTCAATTATAACTGGGGCCGTGTCTTCTTTTGCCATATGCATATACGATACATGTTTTTTGTCTCCGAACTCATCGGGAAGTGTCCAGCGTGGTTCGTCACGAATCTAACCCCTTGCACCACCCCGTGGTAACATTGCCTTTGCTGCTTTTCCACTCCCCCGGTTATTTAGATACCCTGACACAGAACCCCCCCCCCCCCCCCCCCCCCCCCCCCCCCCCCCCCCCCCCCCCCCCCCCCCCCCC